ATGGGAACCACTGTTCTTAGTGAGATTTGAACCTAGCCAGTTGGCCTCAAGGCATCATATTCCTAGCCTGAGGACACATGGGCCTCCTACCCTGTGGAGAACAGGGCAGAACGGTCCAGGAGGAGACCTTGGCATGCATAAAAGCCAGCCGAGAGGCAGATGGGGAGCGGGGGCAGGACAAGATGTGAGCCTAGTTCAGGTCCCCTGGATGGAAATGCACCACCCCTCAGGGGCAGCAGAGCCGGGACGGGGACCAGGTTGAAGCCTGTTTCTGGGCTCTGGCACCATCTGTTTAAATAGGGCTGGAGTCACATTGGCTGCCTCGTGTGCTCTTTGAGTACAGCTGGTCCAGTGATGGGTGGGAGGCAGATGGCACAGGATGTGGGTCTGGCTCACAGGGCCTCACAGGGCCTGGGGGCCATGAGGAGCCTGAGAATCCCTGCTACACTAGTGGGAGCTCTCTATTCACAGGTTTGTTTGTGATGAAGGTTAGCCCTGCAGGGAGGCTGTGCTGAGAGGCTGAGGGGTGGTGGCTGGCACAACCTCCATGACTCACGGTGGCCCCACATCTTAGCTCCCTAGCAGTCTCCATGTGGCTCTGGGGATCACCATAGCCTCCTTAACTAGAGTACAAGCTCCAGGGCAGGAGCCAGCCTCCTCTGACCTTGCTCCTGCCCTTTAGGTAGGGGATCAGGAAAGCCACAATGATTCAGGCTGAATGAGGACTTGAATGGTGACCTGAAGCCAGATGATGGAAAAAGAGAAAGTGAACTGCAGCTGCAGCAAGAGGTATTTCAGTTAGACACAAGGAAGTACTGGCCTGGGAGACTGAAGGGAGTACTAGCTATTTCTGGGGGAAGAGAGGGATCCCTCCTTCTGTCTGCGACAATCTGCCTCTCTGGAAAAAGTACAGTGGGGATTTCTCTCTCCTCGTCCCTCACCAGCTCCTCCATCATCTCTCACCTACATTTTAGTCTCCTCTCTCCTTTCCTGCCTGCCTCCACTTCTGCCTTCGTTGCCTGAGTGGGCCTGGCTTGTCACAGTGTCGCTGGAAGCCTTTGAGCAGGGACACAGTTCAGCCAGCGTTCACTGAGTCCCACACCTGCTGGAGGTGAAGGAGCCCAGGCCCTGCCCAGAGCACTTCCAGCCAGGTAGAGACACAAGACAGGAAAACCAGTGCCTACACCCAAGGCAGAGTAAGAGCCACACGCTGAGAAAGGAACAAGCCAAGTTGTAGGGCTCAGAGACCACAGCCCCAGGGGTCAGGGAAGGCCTCAGAGAGGTGGCATTTGGAGGGTGGGTGAGATATCTATACTGACAGAAACCAGTGGGATCAAGGATAGTCCGGGCAGAGGGACAAATGAGAGGAAGTGGGAAACAGACAGTGGACTGTTCCAGAAATGACAGGCAGACTAGCTTGGCTGAAGAAGTGGGGTGAGAAGGGTCTGGTGAGATAACAGGCAAGTTGGGACCAGATCATGAGGCCCTGAATCTCAGTTGAATGATTTGCACTTGATTGTATAGGCAGTGGGGAGCTATTGAAGGTCTCGGAGAAAGGGCATGACATTATCTGGGCTGGGACTAGAAGAGCTTCTAGATTTTGCTCCTATCCCAGGATCTCATGAAAGGCACTTGGCCTTGATTCTGAGCCCCCGGGCCTCTCAGGAATCCCCAAGGGGAGCAAACAATCTGTGTGTCTCAAATGTTGCCTTTCCAGTGAGGTCTGTCCTGACCATCCTATTTAATAACGCAGCTCCTCTGGCACTCCTGATTGCCTTCCCTTTCCTTCTCTGTGTTTTTCCCCCCATTGCATTTATCTCCTTCTAACATACATCATCCGTAATACGCTGTTTATTATCTGCCCCATTTGAATGAAAGCCCCCTGAGGGCAGGGTCATGTCTGTTTTACTTGCTGCTGCCTAGTCCAGTGCCTGGAATCCCAATAGATTCGTTCATTTTTCAAGTGGATAAAGAGAAAAATACCATCTTGCAGGAACCAGCATGCTCTGATTTGCCCCCTTCCTGTCCCTTCACTGCTGGCTTCCTGGGCTTGGCAGCACTGAGCCTCCAAGTGGAAAAATCTCTGAGAAAACCAGGCAGAGCTGCGCTGCTTCCCTCCCGCACTTCCCACCCTTGCCAGGAGTCTGGAAACATTTGAACTGTTTCCTGCTTCTGCCAAAACCACCACTATTTTCCTTTATCTCAGCGCGGAGGCCAGGCGAGGACAATTTCCCCACCTAAGGAAAGCTGGAAGTCAGGGCTGAAACAGCTCCACTCGGCAGCCTGGAGAACAACTTTGATGGTCTGATCAGAATCGCTGCAAATTCCCAAGTGCCCACTCCATGCATGCAGTGGCTCTGGGCATTTTGCACCATTTTGCCGTCACCCCGACTCTACGAAGCGGGTGTTATCCTCCCCATTTCACAGATGGGAAAATAGAGAAGTTCATTGACACGGTTGAGGTCTCTCCACCAGATGAGGAGGCTGGTCTCAAACGCTGTTCTGTCCTGCCCCAGCCCAGGGCTTGTTCCTCCATAGTGTGTGGCCTCTCTTCCACCACAGGGGCTGAGATGCAGGATGGAGTTAGCTGAGTTCTCTGTCCAAGATGCCAGATCATGGGCAGTTTCTGCTGGCCTCAGGCTTCCCACTTGAGCCATGGGAGCCAAGGTTTTGGCCACAGCCCCACGATGAATGAGGACCATGATGTCAAGTCTGCTGCCTGGCCTGAACTCATCAGAGAGTACACATTATAACTGCGGTCACTGTCTGTCTGGGCAATGGCCAAGTGTCCTCTCTTGACTCTGATGTGGACCAAGGCTGGAGCCCAAAATAGGGCTCACTGCATTTGCAGACCCAGTGGATCCAAGGGAAACTATCCCTAGCCTTGTGTGTGGATCCAGGGCCCCATATCCAGGTCTGCTCCTGGCCAGGCTATGGTTGGGGAGGTAGAAGAGCTTGGATCAAACCCCCAGATGTTGGCTGTAGGCGACTGCACTTCCATTCCTTAGGCACTCAGTTCACCCACCCTGAGGATAGAAACCCTCTCCCAACAAACATTACTGATTCCTTATTACATGCAAGGCAAACAATATCTGTCTCTGCCTTCAAGCCCTTAAAGTGAAGTTAGAGCATAGTCATTAACTAGGCAATGGGGAGCCACGGATGGTTGTAGAGCCAGGGACTTGGATGTCTGCACTGTGCCTTAGGGAGGTTGACCAGGCAGCAGACTATGGCTGGGAGAGAACAGACTTTTGCAATGATCAGATCTAATGTGTTAAGCACTTATTGGGTGCTAGATGTTGTTTCAAGCACTTTACAGATATTACCATAGTTAATCTTCACCCTAGCGTACTATTGTTAACCCTATTTTGCAGATGAAGAGACAGAAATACATAGAGATGACGAGGCCAGTAGGTGATTGAGCTGGGATGTGAACCTATCTGGCTCCACCGCTGCCTCTTCTAGTAATTTTTTTTTTTTTTTTTTTTTTGAGACGGAGTCTCCCTCTGTGTCGCCCAGGCTGGAGTGCAGTGGCGCGATCTCCGCTCACTGCAAGCTCCCCCTCCCGGCGATCTCCGCTCACTGCAAGCTCCGCCTCCCGGGTTCACGCCATTCTCCTGCCTCAGCTTCTCAAGTAGCTGGGACTACAGGCGCCCACCACCGCGCCCGGCTAATTTTTTGTATTTTTAGTAGAGATGGGGTTTCACTGTGTTAGCCAGGATGGTCTTGATCTCCTGACCTCGTGATCTGCCCGCCTCGGCCTCCCAAAGTGCTGGGATTACACGCATGAGCCACCACGCCCGGCCCCTCTTCTAGTAATCTTGAACAACAGTCTGGCATAGGGCTGGGGCCTGGGAATGGCCAGAGGAACAGAAGTGACACACTGCCTGTAGCTAAGGTTCCCTGCGCTGGAGGGCTCTCCCAAGAAAGGACTAGGAAATTATAAAAGGGACGTAAAGAACTATATCTAAGATTACTTTTGTCAATAACAGCAACAATCACGATGTTCTTGGCCAACACCCCATGCAGGATAATATCTTCTTTCATGTAAGAGAGATTTGAGACACTCTCAAATAGAGAAGTCTTATCACAGTTAGAGCTTCCTCTGGAAAGCTTCCCGGACTCTCTAATCCTTCCTCAAAGATTTATTTATTAATGTATTTACTTACTTAAATAGGGAAGAAAGCCTCACTTAGATGCTAACCTAGCTTCAATACCTTCTAGCTTGGAATGTCCAGCCACTGTCAATGTTCCTTTTGCAAAGGGGGAAGGAGTTGCTGGAGGTAACTGGGAAGGTGGAAGGAGAGGAAGAGGAGTGTGGGGCACAGGCTGGACTGAGGGGCAAAGGGAGGCCAATGAGCCCAGGAAGGGCTGTCCAAAGCCAAAGGGCTTCCCACGCTGTTTTGACAAGATTACACCTGATTCCTCTGAGATGTTCAACCACAACATTGGAAACTACACTATTGATATAAGTAATGCTTGAGAAGTAAAAAGAGATTGCGGTTGGATTCTACCTCTAAGATCCCCAGCTCTAGTAGTCTATGAAGATACCATCTGTCTTAATCCTTTCCTAGAGGAAAAAGTGTCAAGAGTCAGGGAACTCTTGGAAGAGCCATGCCTGGCCGGATTCTGGGCTTGCCCCAAACCAGAGTCAGCCGGGCGAGAACCACCGGGGGCCCAGCTAGCAGCTCAGCCCCAGGGGAATTTCTAGGGGACAGAGGACATCCTAACCAAAACCAGAGCATCTTCCGCCCCTTCCCAGGCCTCATGGGCAGGGTCACCTGGGACAGCGCCCTTCGGAATGGGGTTAGGCCGTTCCTGCCCCTCTCTTGGCAGGTTGTGGGTTTAGGAGGGCTTAGGGAGGGCCTTTGCCCAAGTGCTGGCTGGAGAGCTGCAGGCCATGGGGCGGCCAGGATGGCCACATTTCCTAGGCTCAAGGTGGGGAGCTGGTGCTAGGACTTAGCCCTGATGGGTGATGGGATGATGCCAGGGGCACCTACCTGGAACAGCAGCTGAGGTTTGGGGCTCAGGCCCCCCGTGGCCCCTGGGCTGTTATAGGACCTTCCCTCCTCTTGATCAGTCCCCAGGAAAAGGTGCTTCTGAGTGGCTCAGCCGTGTCCCCGCTTGATTCCTGACCCTGAGGGAGGCTCCTCCAAGGATCTATGGCACAGGGACAACAGAACCCTTTCAGGGCAGGCGGGCGTGCATCCCAGTCCTCCCTGACCTCCTTGCAGCTCCTCCCCAGGCCCAAGCTGGCCAAGCCCCTCCCAGCTCCAATGTGCTTGTCAGTATCTCCCACAAGGCCTGCCTTGGGGAGCTCCAATGGGGTGAGGGGTACTCCGGAAGCATCCACGACCCCCAGCCTGCCCCAGTTCCAAATCCAGGCCAGCCAGTGCCCACGCCTGGGTGGGTGAGCTAGGGGCTACCATTCAACCCAGCAGAGCATGAGCTGTGAGGAGGGGGCCATGGGGAGAGCACTGCACTGGGAGCCTAGGCACCAGCTGTCACTTCCCCTGCTAAGCTAGAGCACCCCATTTTCCCTTGCTGGTGTGGGGGTGTTCAGCCTAGATGCACAGACAACGCCAGCAGGGCTGAGCTGGGGGAGGTCAAAGGGGTCATAGACATCACCCACTTCAGAATCATCTGCGGGAGGAGGGGGAGGCCTTGCTGAAACGCAGGTGGAAGGGCCCTGCCTTGACCCACTGAACCTGAATCTCCAGGAAGGTGTTTGGGAACCTACATTTTAACAAGTTCCCCACATGGGTACCCATGAAGTAAGACTCAGTGGACGATACACTGGGAAAGGGCAGACAAGTCCAAGGATGATTTTATAATCCACATAAAGGGATCATCGGTCCGTTTCCTGAAAGCAGCATCACAGAAGCCTGGTCTCTGCAGTCAGGCTAGCCAGGGAGCCCCAGCAGCTTGCTAAACCCTCTCTAGCTCTCATTTTCCTCACGGACAAAATAAAGATTGGCGGTGATCTCTTGGGCCCACCCACATCTGAAATTGTGAATGCAAGAAGAGGTGAACCACTGAGAAACGAATTTAAAAACAAAGCTCAGGGTGAGACATTTTAACTGGTATTCTCCCCCTTATAATTTGTTTCTTCTTAAATATTCTTGTTTTGTTTTGTTTGAGATGGGGTCTCACTCTGTTGCCCAGGCTGGTCTTCAATGCCTGGGCTCAAATGGTCCTCCTGCCTCCTCCTCCTAGGTAGTTAGGATTACAGGCACATGCCACCCTGCCCGGCTTTAAGTATGCTCTTTAAATTCTGAAAATAACATGCTTAGGGGAAAAAAATCAAACCATTCAAAATAATACACAATGAAAACGAAATTTAGGCTGGGTATGGTGGCTCACACCTGTAATCCTGGCACTTTGGGAGGCCAAGGTGGGAGGTTCACTTGAGCCTACAAGTTAGAGACCAGCCTTGGAAACACGGCAAAAACCCAGTTCCAAAAAAAGTAAAAAAAAAAAAAAAAACAAATTAGCTGGGTGTGGTGATGTCCGCCTGTAGTCCCAGCTACTCGGGAAGCTGAGGTGGGAGGATTGCTTAAACCCAGCAGGTCGAGGCTGCAGTGAGTCATGATAGCACCACTGCACCCCAGCATGTGTGACAGAGCAAGACCCTGTCTCCAAAAACAAAAAAAAGAAAGAAAGAAAAAAGAAACATGGCATGGATGGATGTAGGGACATCTCAGACCTATATCCCACTCTCCAACATAAATATCGTCATTTCCTAAATTTTCCTGAGAAGTTTTTCCAGAAATATGAACATACATACACACACACACACAGACACACACACGTCTATCTATGCCTGCATCTTTATTTTAAACCCAACCAGGAACATATTCCCTGTACTTACATTTGCTTTGCTAATTAACATACATCACACATCTCTGCATACCACACAGACAGATTCCTCCATTCTTTTAATAGCTCCTAGTGTTCCACTGAACCAATGCACTACAATTTCTGTGAATCTGTCCTTGTTGATTGATATTTAGGTTATTTCTACATTTTTTGCTGCACAAGCAAAGCTGTAATGAACATCTTTGTTTTTTCTTGTTTGTTTTGAGACAGCGTCATACTCTGTAATGAATATCTTTGTTTTTTCTTGTTTGTTTTGAGACAGCGTCATACTCTGTAACGAATATCTTTGTTTTTTCTTGTTTGTTTGTTTTGAGACAGCGTCATACTCTGTTGCCCAGGCTGGAGTGCAGTGGTACAACCCCAGTTCACTGCAGCCTCAACTTCCTGGGCTCAAGCGATCCTTCTACTTCCGCCTCTCAAGTAGCTGGAACCACAGGCACCCACCACCATGCCCGGCTAATTTTTTTTTTTTTTTTTAATGGAGTTTCACTCTCGTTGCTCAGGCTGGAGTGCAATGGCGCGATCTCAGCTCACTGCCACCTCTGCCTCCAGGTTCAAGCGATTCTCCTGCCTCAGCTTCCCAAGTAGCTGGGATTACAGGGATGCGCCACCAAGCCCGGCTAATTTTGTATTTTCAGTAGAGACGGGGTTTCTCCATGTTGGTCACGCTGCTCTAGAACTCCCAACCTCAGGTGATCCGCTCGCCTCGACCTCCCAAAGTGCTGGGATTACAGGCATGAGCCACCGCACCCGGCCTAAATTTTTTTTTTTAATTTTTGTAGAGATGAAGTCTCACTTTGTTGCCTAGGCTGGTCTTAAACTCCTGGGCTCAGGTGATCTGCCTGCCTCAGCCTCCCAAAGTGCTGGGATTACAGCCGTGAGCCATCTCGCCCAGCCTACATCTTTGACTCTATATCTTTGTGCACATGTATGATGCCAGCTAGAGGATATCCCTGGGTCAAAACTTACGTGAACCTAACATTCTGACAGATATTGCCAAATTGTCCTCCAATGAGGGTGAACCAGTTTTCTCTGCCCCAGCAACTCATGAGTGCCTGTTTTTCTCCACCCTCACACAGTGTGCATGATCAGACTGTTGGATTTTTACAGTGAGTTTAAAAATGGTATCTTGTTTCAATTTGTAATTCAGTTGTCAAAAAAGACAGACATGTTTTCATGTTTATTGACTGATTGGCCTTTGCACTTATTTTTCTGTGACTTGTCTGCATCCATCCTTTCTAATTTCTTATTGATTTTTAAAGAAGTTTTTCTAAATTAAGGCAACTGACTTCTTGTCATGTGTATTGCAAATTGTCATTCATCTCTTTTTGACTTTATTTATGGCATCCTTGGGACTTGCTTAAAAAGCCTTTCCCATTTGAGAATCATGAAAGTATTTGCCCATATTTTCCACTTGTATTCTTGAAGGTTTCTTTTTTTTTCTTTTTTTTTCTAAAGTTCAGCTTTTTATTGAACACGTTATAAAAGAGATTTAGTCAAAAAGACCAAAGGCCATGTCATCATCAGAGTCCTCGGATTCTTCTTTCTTTGCTTCCACTTTCTCCTCCTCAGCTGGAGCAGCAGCAGTGGAGGGGGCAGGACCTCCTGCCGGTGCAGCACCAGCTGCTGGAGCAGGTCCAGCAGCCCCTACATTGCAGATGAGGCTCCCAATGTTGACATTGGCCAGGGCCTTTGCAAACAAGCCAGGCCTAAAAGGTTCAACATTTACACCGGCTGCTTTAATGAGGGCCTTGATCTTATACTCCGTGACAGACACCTCATCGTCGTGCAGAATGAGGGCCGAGTAGATGCAGGCGAGCTCGGAGACGGAGGTCACAGCGCGGGCAAGTGTGGGGCTGGCGCTGCCGGACGCAGTGCTAGTCACCAGATGAAGTGAGGGCCTCACCCCAACGCGGCCTTAACTTCCTCGGAAGGACGGAGCACCTTCGCGGCAGCTGAGGAAAGGGACTTGAAGGTTTCTTTCTCCTTTTCTTCTTCTTCTCCTTCCTCCTGTTGTTGTTGTTGTTGTTGTTCCTCCTCCTCGTCCTCCTCCTCCTCTTCCTCTTCTTCCTCCTCTTCCTCCTCTTCTTCCTCCTCCTTCGTCTTTGTCTTATTCTTTTTTGAGGCAGGGCCTCACTCTGTTGCCCAGGCTAGAGTACTTACGTGATACAATCATAGCTCACTGCAGCCTTGAACTCCTGGGCTCAAGTGATTCTCCTGCCTCAGCCTCCCAAGTAGCTGCGACTGCAGGCACGCACCACCACACCTGGCTTTCTTCTTTCTTTTTAAAATATATTTGCCACCTCCAGAATTTATTTTGATGCAGGGATTGTGGTAAGACTCAACTTTATTACTTTTTTTCAAGGGGCTACACAGTTGTCCCAAAGTCATGTTTGAATAATCCATTTCCTGCTCCCCTACCCAACAATCCTCCCTCTAAATTCAAAGTTCCAATTTGACTATAAAGGAGGATGGATACAAAGAGCATAAACTCAGAGTCGAGTGCTTGGTTCAAATTTCCACTCTACTGGACCTGGGATAAGCTGCCTACCCTTTCTGTGCCTCAGGTTCCTCATCTAAAAATGGAGATAACAATAACGCCATCTGCATGGAGTTATTGTGAGGATTAAATGAGTTATTACAGGTAAGGGGTGTAGAAAGATGCAGCTAATATATGCTGCCCACAAGAGGTTCAACCTTAGATGTAAAGGCTCACATAAGTGGACCGTGAAAGGATGGAAAAAGTCATTCCATGCACATGGTAACCGAAAGAGAGCAAGGATGGCAGTATTTGTATCCGTCAAAAGCTGCCACAAAAGACAAAGGAGGCTATTACATAATGATAAAGGGTCAATTCACCAGGAAGATATAACAATTACAAATACATGTGCACCTAACAGCAGAGCACCCAAATATATGAAGCAATATTGACAAAACTGAAGGGAGAAATAGACAACACTGCAATAATAATTGGAGATTTCAGTACTTCTTTCAATAATGGATAGAACAACCAGACAGAAGATCAATAAGAAAATGGAGAACTAGGCAGGACACGGTGGCTCACACCTGTAATCCCAGCACTGTGGGAGGCTGAGGCAGGTGGATCACCTGAGGTCGGGAGTTCAAGACCAGCCTGACCAACATGGAGAAACCCCATCTCTACTAAAAATACAAAATTAGCCAGGTGTGGTGGCACATGCCTGTAATCCCAGCTACTCGGGAGGCTGAGGCAGGAGAATCACTTGAACCCAAGAGGTGGAGGTTGCGGTAAGCTGAGATCG